CTGGCTCATGCTTCCTCACTCATTGTCAAGCCTAGCATAAAGTGCAGCTCATGAACATTGCTTGATCTTAACGCTAAAGGTTGTGAACTAAGCTTCTATACGAATCTCTGGCTTTTCGCTGTCACTTATTCAGGTCTAAAAATTAGCTTTAGGAAGGTCTACTAGCTCAATTTATTAATTCTGAATACGTGGACATGCAACAGTTTGCTAAAAATGAGCGAAAAAGTAAAAGCACGGGTGAAAGCTTTTATTCGTTCCCAATTTATTAGGTAATACAGATGTTGGTTAAAAATAAAAAAGAAGATGTTCGGAAACAAGGAAGTGCGAATTAAGACAATGTCGGAACGGATATACAGACAATTATTGCACAAATGCTTCTATAAAGTAAATCACTATTAAGAAGAATTGAAAGACAATGTGTGCCCGTATGCGCGCAGACAGTATTGCGCTGCACTCATTGTTAAAGATTAGAAAAACATTATAAGTTCTGTAGAACGATATCACAATGGAAACCACTGGAAAGAACTGTGGAACAGAAAGACAATGGTTAGCAAAATTGATTTGGAAAATTGAAGAAGTGTAAAGGTTAAACCAGTTTGTATAATGGGGAAATGCAATAATTTTGCAGTTTTTTTTACTGCAACCGAGTACCGGATAAGATGCAAAGTCATTTTGTCATGACCATGTTTAAGGGATGAAGTAAGGTTACAAGAAAACGATAAAGCCTTGTGGAAAATCCTGTGCAATCTATGAATGATTCCGTTTTCATTTGTATGTTCCTCTAAGAATGTTATCCTGAGTCTAGTTGACGTCTACTAGAACAGCTCGCTTATTTCTCAATTCTTCCAGACTTTAACGAAGGCGAAAGCACTAAAATGCTTGTCCATGAAGAGAAATCGCAGCCTAGGATTTATCCTACAAGTATTGATGAAAAAATAATGATTGAACCGATTTTTCTTCATTATTTCTTCATCTCACTTCAGCAGAATTTTTTCAAAGGATTTACAGTTTGAAGTCACAAATGATAAGAGGTTTTCACCCTGCTAAAAGTAAAGGAGAAGTTATTGAGTTGCGAAGATATTCTGCTAAATTCAGAAACGCTCAACAGGTTATCTTCACAATTGAAATTCTCCTCTTGTTCCTTTTGATATCCGTGCCAGCATTTAAAATGCATCAAACCTTTCAGTAATTTAGGTTGAAAAAGAATACTTATTAGATTTCTATCTGGGTTGCATACCGAACATCATTCCCAAGCACACGTTCTGCCATAGAGAACCCAATTATGACGCGAAACCTCACAACAATACACCTTCCCTTTAATGACAGTTCAGAGTGTGTTGAATCGGTTGGAATGAGATAACCCACAAAACTTCCAAGCCAACCACAGTTATAAGACAATAAGTTATATTGTTGTATGCTAATAGATAACTCTATTGAAATGTTTTCCACCTTCTCTTTTGAGTTGACCGAGCTGAACTTGACTTGGTTTTAGTGCATTACACCAAAAAAGTAGACAGAGCAGAAAGTGATGGAATAACTGTTTAGAGATGGAAAACATACTTGTAATATTTTAATTTGAGTGAGAGAATGGGGGACAAGAGAGGGATTAGTTAGGTAAGTTGACATCATTGATCATCCTGTCCCGCAAATCGGTGTGGATTTTTACAGATCAAAAATGGAACATAAAACATTTTTGAATGCAGAAGAACGGATGAAGCGCTGTGAAGCATAGGCAACCTGCAAATAGAGGTGGGTTGCATAATTAAACATCTGAACATGGATTAGAAGAGGTACTCACCATGTGAGAATATCGCTTAAACGGGCAGCTTCCTCATTTTGAATCAGATGTATTTGAAGAGCTTTCACGAACTGATCTTGAATTAGCGTAACCTTCTGCAGAAATTGCGGTTTATCCAGGTGACTAGTGCCGCTCCAATCTAAAAAAGTCCAAGTTTTGTTGGTAACAGCGTGATAAAAGAAATCAAATTACCTGAAGTTTTGCTATAATGGAAAAGTGTGATAGCCTTGATACAGACGTATGCTTCTGTTGTTATCCTCATTTTTGAAAACGAGTAGAGCAGCGTAGTGAATTTTTCGACCAGGGGACCAGCCTCCCTTAGAAATAAAAGTGAATTTTGGGAGTTAATTGTACACATATTTGCATCGAAATGATGGTATCTTTGTCAACTTGAAAAATTATTAAAGATATTTTGAAATGGAGTATTATGTAAAATCTTTTTATACAACTTCATTTACAGAGCCCCACTTAAAATAGGAGTAGATTAGTTCAAAACATTGAGTAATTTGACATAGCCCTTATCTTGACTTTTTATGACTGATATCTTCAATTTGACTCTGCAGTGGTAAAAATCAATTTCGTTTTTAATTCCAGGCAACATAATCCTATTTTAAAACGTTTGAATCGATCCGCTTATATCCTGCGGCCATTCTGAGGTAGTCCGCTAAGATATCAAGCTCTATTTACTATTTTCACATTATCTGATTGGTTCCAAGTATTGTCGAAACATTACTTAGAAAGCATTTTCAAAGTGAATTTAACATTACATTAGCTTTTAATGAAAGCGCGAGCATTTGAAATAGCAGGAACCTAGACGGATTAAATTTGGGCAAAGAAGAGTCGATGTTCTCTGATCTTCCTGCTCAGTTCACTCATGATTCTTCAAATCAAGATTTCTGCTGCGGAAGAGGAGAGAATAACCTTTGTCACGTAAACGTGGTGAACATTTCTTACTTTATTACATGTTCGAGTGGTATTGGTTTCCCCATTACGGCTGACAGACGCTTTTGAAGAAGACGAATGTTGGCAGAAGAGTCCAAGAAAGAGACCTAAGGAAAATGACAGAGAAAGATGTTAGAACACTGAAAGAGTATCAAGTAGAAGGGTTGACTTTATGCGAAACCTCTTCGTCCCCTTCAATCGTGGTGGTGGAAACAACTGTATCATCACTTACATGTGTGGCATTTGAACAAGAGTAAAAACAAGCTGATAGTAGAACCTAGAATTGGAAAAGCATGAGAGGGTCATCGTGGAACATGCCTGCTTGATGCTTTACCAGCTCGGCCCACCGCTGCGTAAGAAGGTGGGTGTGCACTTCTACAGGAAGCTCACCATAGAACGGTAACATTTTTGTCCATTCGACCAGTTGTTCAACAATTTCATCTCCTGCAATGGAATTACTTTATCTCGGAGTCAGTAAGGCTTTCGCGTGTTGAAAAGGACTACAGATGTAGCAAACCTATGCGACTGAGACGCTGGCAGGCAGGATCTAACTCTTCGCAATTGTCATCTATGGGAAAAATCCTTAAACCTCGCAAATCGATAAGTTTTTCGATTTGGTCTATTTCGATCAGTTCCTAAAACAATCTGATTTATTCTAACGTGCGTGGTTGTTCAAAACACATATGTTGTTGAGATCAGTTGCAATCAAGCTCCCGTATTACCCTTTTAGAAAAACTCAATAGCACTGCTTTTTCAGGCAGTAGGGATGACCGGTTTCGCACGAAGTCTCCGTTTGAACCCTATGAGAACGAATACCCGCTTGAAAATTCAGCAACATGTGAGGTCCCCTTTGTAACCTGTGTAATGGGGGCAAACAGGAGAAGAACCGCAGCGCTGTTTGCCTGGAACGCATTTTCTTTTCTGCGGTAAAAGGATTTAAGGTCCTAGCAGGAAGGAAAAAATTTCTTTGATCAAGTTATCGCGCCTTAAGTTGAGTCGGGTGCATATATTAAGGTGGTATAAAGATGGCAACTTATGTAAAAAACTGTTCGCTAATCGGAGACCTGAGGCGGTAGCAAACCCCATGTATGTTGCAACATCAAGCTCGCAATATGTGACGAGGTGATTCGCGCCAGGTCTAACTACCTCGCACTGTCCCGTATCTCCCAACACGCGAGCGAAACGCGGTGCGAACACCGCAAAATCGGCGCGTTGTTAGGAGGAAACGGGATACTCTTTGCCACTTTTAAGGTTTCAACCCCGTCAAAGGTTATCTTAGAGTGATAGGTAGCAATTAGGTTTTTAGATCCTAGTTATTTTTCTTGCTTATTTTTTCACATTTCCATATGTGTGCAAATGCATCGATTCATTGATGAATTCGTGCTTCGGTAGATCAAATAGTCCAAGACGACAGATCGCTCTTCTTTTTAAAATGGTATTTCATTTTCTGCATACAGCTACTCCTTGAAATTTAGCGACATTTTTCTAGCTTTGCAAGGGTTTCTTTAAAAGAGGTAGGTAACTCAAGTAACAAACGGAAATGTGAAAGTATTGATGGAGAGCGCGATAATGAAAGTAAGGAGTTGAAACCTTAAATGCGCCTCAACTTGAAGGAGGTGAACGTGCCCGGACAAGCCAAGCCGTTATAAATGGAGGTAACCAGTTTTTTTTTTCAAATATCGCTAGTATACATATTGTAACACTTTAAGTGCAGCGTGAAGTGTTCTCTTTTTGCAAAGAATATGTAACAGGTTATGTCTTCAATGTTTATGGGATAACATCGGTTCTACTGATAGCGCAGTGGTTATGAGTGCCGTTGATGCCCGCTCAACACAAGTTCGGTGACGTCGGATGCATGTTTTGCGTCAATTCCCTAACCTACTCAAAAACGTCATGCCAAGTTCGCGTCTAGCTTATGCCATGCTCAGAGCTGTCACGATTGTGGATCTTTCCTGTTGTGACAAATTCCTGGGGATTACTACTACCGCTGAGGTCTCCTGTAGGTTTACGCTAGATACTTAAAGCGCAAAAAGGTACAGTGATTATTTCACTTCCATGGGTTTTCAAGATATCTGCTACAATACTGAAATTCCTTATTGCGCATCTTCTTCCTGAATTTGGACATCGCATTGGCTAATCCCATGGGGAAACGAGTTTGAGCGAATTACTAAAAATATGTTCAAATATTACGCGCAGATGCGTTCATAAAGCTTTGAGTAAACTTGTGGATACGTTGATTATATGGTAGGTAGATATCGGCAACGACTGTAACGTTGGGGAATGCGAAAACGGAAGTATAAACTGCAATCCCTCGGATTCCCGAACCCCATACGATTTCCCTTTGCCCTCCGCAAAAACGATTTACAGCTCTCGAAACATACCGGCGAGGCCTGTTTAGTAAGCTTCCGTAGAAAAAATTAAATGAAAGTTGCAATGTCGTGACGTTGTCATAGTTTCAAAAATAAATTTTCGGGGATTATTTCAAATAGAGTTCTAGTATATAGAATAAAGGTCGCTTCGATATAGAATACAATCTTAAACTATTAGAATAATATTAACATTAAAAGAATTACTCGTACTTGAATGAGGTTCTTATTCTTTGCTCGTGGACAATCATCGTAATCTGCTAACCGTCCCTCAACATCCGCTGTGTTTTTACAAAGGGATATACTATCACGTAAAGGAGGCCGATGCCGTGCTTTACGACATCTCAACTAAAATTAGATTAATCAAAGTAAAATTTTCATTTTTGTGAGGATAGTCACCTTGTACAGACTATATACTGTGCTTCCGTTTCTTCCGCCAGGCATGCGATCTTCGCGTACAGCTGAAAAGTTGGAATGATGTATATGTGAAGCCAACCAATGCAAATTTAGTAATTTATTTTTCGCCAGCCATCAAAATCCAACCATAAA